ATTACAAAGCCACAGTAACAAAACCAGAATGGTATTAGTACAAACACAGACAGAGAGACCAATGGAATAGAACAGGGAACACCGAAACAAACAAACACAAGTACAGCCACTTGATTCTTCACAAAGGAACCAGAAACATACACTGAAGAAAAGAGTCTGCTTAATAAATGTCCTGGGAAAACTGTATATTCCTATGTAGAAAACTGAAACTAAAGCAGACCCTTCTCTCACCCCGTTTAAAAAAAATAATTCAAAATGGGTCAAAGAAATTTCCCAACTGCTAGAAGAAAACATAATAGAAACACATGAAGTCACAGGCATAGGCAAAGATGTCCTGAATAGAACTACAACAGCACAGGAAATCACAGCAAAAAAAAAATCAACAAATGGGACTACATCGAATAAGTTTCTGCACAACAATGCAAACAAGAGAGTGGAAACTATAGAGCAGGAGGAAGTCTTTACCAGCTACTCTTCTGACAGAAGATCAATACCTACAATATAAAAATAACTCAAAAAAAATTCAAACAGCTGAATCCAATAAATAAGCAGACATTTATCAAAAGAAGTACATCCCCTGCTCCTTGGTAGGAAGAATCAACATAGTGAAAATGGCCATACTACCAAAACTGCTATATACACTCAATGCAATGCCGACTGAAATTCCAACACTATATTTCACAGAACTAGAAAGAAGAATCCAAAAATTCATTTGGAACTATAAGAGACCTAGAATAGCAAAAGCCATTTTAGACAACAGACACATGGCAGCGGGTATAACAATTCCCAATTTGAAACTATACTACAAAGCCACTGTGATAAAAACAGCATGGTACTGGCAAAGAAATAGGCCTGAGGATCAGTGGAACAGAATGGAAGACACAAAAACAAATGTAGATGTACTCAGCTACCTCATCTTTGACAAAGGAGCTGACCATCCTCAGTGGAAGAAAGATAGCCTCTTTAATAAATGGTGTTGGAAAAACTGGATGTCAACCTGCCACAGATTAAAATTAGACCCTTATCTTTCGCCATGCACTAAATTAAAATCCAAATGGATTAAAGATCTAAATATTAAAACAGAAACATTAAACTTGCTGGAAGGTAAGTTAGGCAGAACTCTGGAAGACATTGGTATAGGAAAAGACTTTATGAACAAATCCTCAGTAGCACGGGAACTAGCAGAAAGAATCAACAACTGGGATCTCATCTTACTAAAAAGCTTCTGTACTTCAAAAGAAACCATTAGCAGAACTAAGAGACAATCTACAATGTGGGAAAAAATTTTTACCAGCTGTTCCTCAGACAAAGGACTATTATCAAGGATATATAAAGAACTCAAAACAATCAGCCCCCCCAAATATAAAGACCCGATTCAAAAATGGGCATCCGAAATGAACAGACATTTCTCAGACAAAGAAGTAAAAGCAGCAAGTAAATATATGAAAAAATGTTCCACATCACTGGTCATTCGAGAGATGCAGATGAAAACAACACTGAGATTCCACCTCACCCCACAAAGAATGGCTGCTATCAAGAAATCACACAATAACAAATGCTGGCGGCATTGTGGGGAGAAAGGAACCCTTCTCCATTGTTGGTGAGAGTGCAGACTGGTGCAACCACTATGGAAATCAATATGGAGATACCTCAAAGAGCTGGGACTGGAGGTTCCATTTGACCCAGCCATCCCTCTGCTGGGTATCTTTCCAAAAGAACTAAAAGAATCATATCACAGAGAAGTTTGCACACCCATGTTTATAGCGCCACAGTTTGTAATAGCTAAAACTTGGAAACAGCCCATTTGCCCATCCATTGGAAACTGGATAAAGAAGATGTGGTTTTTCTGTAAAATGGAATATTACTCAGCCATAAAGAACGAGAAAATAGATTCATTCATAGGAAAATGGACACATACTGAAGATAAACTCCTAAGTGAAATAAATAAGGCACACATGTGTAAATACCGAATAGTTTCCCTGGTGTGAATAATCTGCAATAATACATAAGATCCTAATAAGATTACTGACATTTAGAAATGGGAAGAAAGGAGCTAAAGGTGTAGGGAAGGTGGGATGGGTAGGGGAAGGGAAATAAGGGAAATGAAAAAAATGTGAGATAATGAAAAGATGAAAGTGTTTGTAGATGGGGAGGGGAGGAGGGGTGAAAGGAGGGCAGGGACAAGGGGAAAAAATGAGAACCAAGACTTGTCATGTAGAGGTACAAGATCCCAACAATGAATGTAGCTGTACTGTATCCCTAAAATGTACCAATAAACTCAATTAAAGCTGAAAAAAAAAAAAGAAGAAGTACAGATGGGCAATATTCATATAAAAACATTCAACATCTATTAGGGAAATGCAAATCAAAACTTCAGTGAGGATTTCTTTTAGTCAGAATGGCTACCATCAAGAACACCAAAGTGAATGAAGAGCTGGGGATTTATCTCAGTGGTTCCACCACTTGCCTCCAAAGCACAAAGTCCTGAGTTTGATCCCCGGTACCAAAAAGAAATAAAAAGATAAAAATAAAATGAATGAATGAATGAATGCAGGGGAAAATGTAGAGAAAAGCAACCTTTCCACAATGGTGGTGGTAATGTAAAGCACAGCCACTGTGGAAATCAGTACACAGGTCCCTTAAAATATTTAAAAACAGAATTATCATATGACCCAGTCTATACCACTCCTTGGTACATACCTGAAGGAATTAAAGTCAGCACATTATAAAACTATCTGCATAACCATAATATCTGCAGCATAATTCATGACAGCCAAGATATGGAACCAGCCTAAATGTTCACCAACAGATGAATGGATACAGAAAATGTAGTATACATACACAATGATATATTATTCAGCCATAAAGAAGAATGAAATCAAGTGATGTGCAGGAAAGTAGAACTGGTGATAATGTTCAGTGAAATAAACTAGAGTAAGAAAAACAAATATTGCAAGTTTTCCCTAATATGAGGAATCTTAAAAAAAAATGATATGAAAGTAGAAGAGAGACATATTAGGTAAGAGGAAGAGAACAAGGGTGAGGGAAGAATAAGGGAAGGTGATGGAGGGAACGGATATGATCAAAACACGTACACACGTGCAAGAAAACCACATTTAAACTGCTGTGTGAAATCAACAGGCACTTATAAAATATATATTTTAAGAGTCCTTGGAAATTAAAATATAATAATAGAAAGTCAAGGAAACCATTCAGAAAGCAGAATAAGGAAGTGAAAAACAGGGTCAAATAATTGTACCGCATATATACAGTATATATGAAACATTGACAAACTAAGAGAATAAACCAACAAAGAAAATACTGAATCTAGAAAACAAGATTTAAAAACACAGGAAAGAAATGAAGCCTTTCCTAGAACAACAGCTGGAGTACAGCAGGTCCTGAATATACCAGGACAGACAGGAGCAGGGAGTAATCGGCTACACGAGGGGCACTTTCAGAAGAAAAACTTTAAAAATGCTGTCGGATATATGAAAAGGATTTTAGAAGATAGCTTGTGAGCTGCTGGAGAATGAGAGAAACTAGTCAAGTTTTTTTTGTTATTTTTTTTTTTTTTTTGGTTTTTTTTGAGACAGGGTCTCACTACGTAGTTGAGACTGACCTAGAACTCACTATGTAGCCCAGGCTGGTCTCGAACTCACAGCGATCCTCCTGTCTCAGCCTCCCGAGTGCTGGGATTACAGGTGTGCACCACCACGCCCAGCCTTTACTTTGTTTTTTAAAGAAAAAAAACACAAGAGAGGCTGAGGCACAAGAATCACAAGCTTGAGTCCCACCTGGGCAACTTAAAGACCCTAGCTCAAAATTTAAAATTACAAAAAGGGGCTGGGGATGTACATCAGTGGTACAGTGTCATTGCCCCTGGATTTGATTCATAGTATCTTAAACAATGAAAAATTTAAGCAGAACTGAGGATGCAGCTCAGTGATACAGGACTTGCCTAGCATGCAGGAAGCCCTGGGTAAAACCCCAATACTACCAAACATAAACAAGCAAATGAAAACATGAAGAAATTAACTCTAATGAAAACAAAAGATGATCTCAAATGTACTGTCTCTGTAAGAGGAAATATAACTATGCATCTTGGCTCAACACTAATTATTTTACATACAATAGCAAAATACTATGGATTCAACTAAGAATTATTGTATCCTATCCTGAAAGGGAAATATATCATCACTCAAAAGTCAGTCGAAACCTATCTGAAATTAGAGAATGAAGATACAGGATTTTAAATTATGACATTAAAAACCTGAATCATTAAAATTTTTAAGTGTCTCTGGGGACTAAGAAGTCAGGTGGAAATACAGCATTTTCAGGACAGGCTTGTAAAGCATACTTTTAAAGTTATGAACATGTTGTATGTCAAGCACATTAAAAGCTTGGTAGTTTTATAATAATGACCAGATTTTACCTACCATTCAATTTATGAATAAAATGTGCCCAAGATCTTCTGCATCATCCATAAAAGCTTACCCACTTCCCACCATTATCACCAAGGTAATGCCTGAACTTTCAATAATCCTCCATTTTTCTTTCACAATTTCAAAATTAATTAATCTGAAAATATATTGGCTCTTCCTGTTTGCTACTTACCTTCACTGTTATGTTTACAAGTATTAAAGAAATATACAATTTGCCTGTCACACCAAAATAGGATTCAAAACCAACTATTTTTCAGCAAGAATTATGCAATTTCTTTTCCTAAATTTCCTCTCAATTATGAAAGACTGCTCCTTTCAAAATAGAGCAGAACAAGAACATAAAATTACCCACTAGACCAAATGTACTGGTATAATGACATCAGCACAAAAATCACCACCACCTCAATTGGGAAGACTGAAATATTCACATTACCTAACACCTGACTAAAATGAAAATACAACATTAGTTTAAATTATACCCAAACAGAGCAATTCCCCATTTGCTTTTGGGGATTTAACCAACAGAAAGCGGGCAAGGTGAGTCAACACCTATACCTTGAAGGTGACAAGGAACATCATATTCAATCTCATCATGTCTTGAGGGACTTAGGAACAAAGTTCCGTCCACCAGAGGAAACTGTTCAAAGACAGGGAGTGCCCGATGACACAGAGCACAGTTTACAACGTTTCTGTGGCTGGCACTGAGGGCTGCGAGAATGAACTTCCGCAGATCCTCGCCCTGGCCCACGTGGGCATCATCTTCCATCCGCACATGGAAAGTGTTCAGCTTATGCCTGGGGATGTGAGTAAGGAGCTCAGAGAGGTCCAGTCGCCGCAGGAACTGCACGGGGGTATCAAAGTGTCCCCCTCTGTGAACAGATACCCCAGCAGGACTGTAATCAAAGTGGGCATTTCTGAACACGTGGCCCCCAGCCATGGCCTTTTTGTGAGGCTCAAGATGGATGGCGTTCTTTAAGAATTCCCCAAGGTATCTAGAGGAGCGAGGACCACTGAAGTGGGCAGGAGAGAGGATGGAGTAGCCAGTGGGTGGAGACTGGCCAGGGGAACCACATGGGGAGCGGCCACCATAGGCAGTGGTGCTGACTGTCTTCTCCTGAGAGTTCTGTCGGTCCATGGAATGCCGTCGGGGGAGGTCATGGTTCAGGCTTTTCTGGGGCTTGTTCAGGGGCCTGCATTTTTTTGCCTCCTCTGCAGCCTCCCCGGGGGGTCTCCCTGTGTTTTTCTCAGACCCAGCCTTCTTTTTTTTCTCATCCTGCATCCGCTTCACCTGGTACCAGTCTGTGTCCTTCTTTAAGTGGCCCTGCCCACAGCGGCAGGAGCAGAAGCGGAAGGCCAGATCGTACCCCTTCTTGGTCCACATGTTCTGGCGGCACTGCTTCTCGTTCCAGCTGCGGGCCCGGCCAATGCAGTTGAACTGTGCCAGGATGCTACTCTCCCACTCATAGAAGCACTGCAGGTGCATCCAGGTGCTGCAGGGGCAGTGCTCATTGTTGCACACCACCTTCTGGTAGTCGTCCTTCTCCAGGTCCACCGGCCTGCCAAAACTGCAGATCAGAGGCGTGGCACAAGGGGCTTCTGGGAGGGAACAAAGAGAGAGACACTGAGTGTACAAAGAGCAAAGCTGCTGTCTGTGTTACCCATTCACTCCGGTGGTATGCCACCACAGCAGTAAAATAAGACAGAATTCAAAACATCTGCCATCTTCTCCTGGCAGGACGCTTTTCTAGGGGCATTTGTATTTGCTGATATCTGTTATCTGCCAAAAGCGAACCCACAAGCTCCAAAAAGTCCAAATCTTTCACAGTACAATTGTGCATGTACACCTATGACAGGGTGGCATAAGGTATTCCTAAGATGTGGGTGTAACGATGGATAGTTCCAAGATTTCTTTAAAAATGTATCATTCCAGGGAAACGAGAAACAATATGAAGCTCCTTATCCAAGCCAGTTCTGGTGGCATCTTCAAAAGGGCCCTCCAAGCTCTTTATCACAGGTTTTAGGTTGTCCTAACTCCCACACAGAGGCCATACAACAGACCAGTGTCATCGCCGATGGCTTCATACCCAATGGCAGGGTTGTCTGATACTGACCACTGGTCTACACAGAATTCCACTGCCAAGTTGAGAAAGAAAAAAAAAACAGAGTTTTCTGAAAGCTCTCAGATAAAAAGTTAGAAGATATTTATACACTGTTGTAAGCACATGACCTACAGACGGTGTTTAAACAACAACCAGGCAGGTTCCCAGGAAAAAAGGAGAACATGACATCACAATGAAGAAACCATTTCTTAAAAAATAAACATCATATACAGAGACAACTCAAAACATTCCTGTAACTTCTCAATGATAAAAAAAATTCCTAGCTCAGATAATGAATTAACTTCAAAAAGGCACATGATAGAGACAGTATAGAAACAGCAGTAGCAACCCCAGGCACAGTGGCACACACCTGTATTCCCTCCAAGAAAGAAGCTGAGGCTGGAGGATGTCAAGTTCAACTTAGCAAGACTGTCTCAAAATTTTAAAAGGACTGGGAATGTAGCTCAGTGAGAAGGCCCTGAGTATGTACCTTAGTACAAAAGTCTTGGGTTCAATCCCTACTACTGAAAAAAGAAATTAGTAGTTACCAGAGCATGAGGGATAAACAGGTTGATACAGGATTCTTAGAGTAGTGAAGCTATTCTGTACGATACAACAATGGCAGATACCTGTCATTACACGTTTGTCAAAACTCACAAAATCTACACCACCAAACCTAAATTAACTATGTAATGAGTGACAATGTATACCAATGTAGAGTCAGTGATTGTAACACATGTGCTATTCTTCAGACAATATTGACAGTGGAGAGCTATACATGTGTGGATATAGGAGGGCATATGCAAACTGTTACTTCAATTTTTCTATGAAAATTTAAAGCTGCTCTAAAAATTAAAATATATTTTTTAATTAAGGGGGTGGGGAAAGCACGTCTAAATCCCATTTCCATGAAATACCTACCAGCTGTGTAAAAGTTGGCTGGTAATACTTTATTTAGTTCTCAACCTCTCAATTACAAATAGGTAAAATTGTATGCACCACCTTAAATAAGAAATGCTTACAGAGAGTTTAGCAAACTACCTGGCAGGTAGGGCTTGCTAATGCTATTGTCACCATTGTTCTTATCATTAGCTGAATCTTTACAGCATAGCTTGGAACATTTTTATCAGTAAGAGGCTATGTAATGAGGTGGCTGAGAATCTAAAGCAGAAATGGCAAAACTGACCAAATGTGGGGCCCAAATGGGCAATTGAGTCTGGCAGTATTAGAACAGAACAGAGAAGGTTCCAGGCATGGCAAGCACAGACCAGAGTCCACATGCCCAAACTAGTCGCTGCCAATTATGTGGAGGAGCGGCTGAGGCCTGGAGATGAGAAGGGTACTATACAGAGCAAAACAACCCACAGACTTCCCCTTTCACCTCTTTGCAGTTCTGTAATTTTCCATACAATGCATCACTCCCCTTAAATCTCTGTGCTATTTTGTCAGGTTCTCGTGTCGTTCCCCTACTTGTCAAAATAAGTACTTCCCAGGAGTAGTGCTCAAGCTCAACGTTTCTTTCCTAAGCTCTAAGCAGAAGCTAAAACTTTGCCACACCTTAACAAGGACTCTACATATTGGCATTTGGATGAGTCTTTGTGCAGAATTATTACTGTGTTACTATAGAAAGTTAGCATCACTAGCTTTCCCTGAGCACTAAATATGTATACACCCTTCTATACCCTCACTTCTCATGAGAACCCCACAGTACATAACATTTTCAAAAGGCTCCTGTGTAGGGCAGTACTACCCATCCCATCTGGGAAACCACTGGGCTTTGATGAAAAGATTCCAGGTGTTATATGCATAGGGAATTAGACAATGTCTGTTGTAAAGGCTGAGTTGTTCTAGAACACATTCCCTGGTGGCTGTGTGGCACACAGGACTTGAGGCAGACAAACCAGGAGAAGTCTCACGTAGGCATGGTGAGTGACTACACTCAGGTGGCACTGTCAGATGCCTCTCAGCATATGAGGCACTGAAGAGCAAAAATGGGAGGGGCAGATTTGTACAGATGATGATGACGTTTGGCTGCCCCACTTAGGATCTACTAAATTGGAAGAGCCTGTACATCACTGAAGTGGAGCAAGATATGAATATGCCTGGGGCTCAAGAAGAGTTCGAGCTGAGAGTCACAGTAAGCAACAAAAGTTAAATCTCTGGGACCCACGAGATGTCCAAGAGGACTGTGAGGAATGGGCAGAAACTAGAGACCAGGAAAGAAATCCTGGAAGCAAGGACTGACACTAAGGCTGGAGGAGGAATGTCCTCTACAGAGTTTTAGGGAAGGTCAAAATTCACTGGAAGTCAAGTCCAAAGGGAGTTATAATTATGTCAAGGCAGTCAGAATGCAGGATTATGTAATGTCCCAGAATGCTAAGCAAATCAGTGTTTCTCAACCTCTGCACCACAGGCAATCTGGGCTGGAGCCACTCCTTGTTTGAGAGGTGTAAAGATATTTAATGGCATTTCTACCTTCTACCACAGCTGCCAATAGCACTGTTCCCTCAATTGTAACATCCAAAATGTCTCCAGACATTGGCAGCTATCCCTTGAAGGACAAATTCACCCATGGCTGAAAACTGCTGAGTAAGATAAGCCTGAAAAGTCCTTACCAGAATGAGTAGTAGGCCAGGCACTACCCAACTCAATGAGGGCATTTCCAGTTGGTATGATGGAGGACAGGTCAAAGGCAAACAGGGGCCGAAAGTAAGTTAAAAAGAGAAACTGTGTGTAGATAACTCCATGACATTCTTTTCAGAAATGTAACTGTGAAGGAAAGGAAAGAGAATGGGCTGGAGGTGTGGGTGATAGGACCCTGTACAAATATTAGTTGTGACCATTGTGTATTATAATTATCTCCTTCCAAGGCCTCAGCAAAATAGCTCTAAACCAACCTGTGTACCTCCATATAGCTGATCCCCATTACTTCCTACAGGTCTGCAGTCCTCAATTCATTCATGTAAATCTCTTTTTTCCCAGGAGAGAATTCACAGTATTAACTCTGCAGCCAGACTACCTCTGTTACTAGTACTGGTACCAATCACAAGCTGTGTGCCCTTGGATGAGTTAGTTACTTCTTTTCAGTTTCCTTCTTATAAAACACAGGTAACAAAATGTTACATGGTTAAGGGGATGGAAAAAAAAACCAATATGTACATAGAGCATAGAACAGGGCCTGGCACCTAGCAAACCTCTGCACCTTCTATCCACTCCTGTAAAGTCTACCTGTACATCAGGACTCTTCTCTCCCCGCTGCTTGACTCCCCAGCTTGATGGCTTGAATCTTAATGGAGTCTGTCATTATGCACTCTACCAGGTGACAACTCAGGAAAGGACACCTCTTACTCATCTTTGTGCTCCTGGCACTCTCAGACCCAGGCCTTCTATACATCAGACTCTGTAATCCTAAAAGACCTGCAAGCACTGAAGCACACTGAAAACAAGTGAAAAGTACTTTGAAACTCTGAGTAAATTAACTGCAGTTATCAGAGCTGTGAACTTTGGTGTCCCTTTAAATATTAATCGGGGCCAGGGATTTAGCTCAGTGGTACGGTGCCTGCCTTGCAAGCACCAAGTCCTAAGTTCAATCCCTGGTACTGGGAAAGAAATGTTAATTATCAATTAAATAGCTCTATTGCTTTCATTGTCAATCCTTCAGAAGAGCAGCCTTGAAGGGAATGTCTCTGAAATGTAATGACAATAACCAAAATATATTAACCCAGGACTAATAAAATCAAAGGATGGCCTTTGCATACACCATATTCAAAATGTAAATCTTAAAATTGACTTGACTTTTTTAAAAAAATATAGACCTATGTAGTCAAAGAAAAATTCTATCCATACCTTTTTTAAAAGCAGCAAATGTATCATTTAATGAATACTGAGCACTTCCTACATACCAGATCTTGGGAGCTGAAAAGATCTGGCAAATTACCCTAAGAGCTCTAACAGAAGTTTCTGCATGGAACAGATGAGGTAGCATGGCTCAGCCCACATCCTTCCCTGCTACCACCACAGCCATTTCACCTGCTTCCTTCCCTCCAACCCTCTAAACTGAACCCTATGGATTGGACATGGCCAAGTACCCCCTAAAAGCTCATGTGTTGGAGGCCTGGTCCCCAGTGTGACAGTGGAAGATGGTACAGAAGCTTTAAGGGGTGGGACCTTTCCAATGGGAAGGACCTTGGAAAGAGAATAAGTACTGCTCTCCTGAAGAGCTGTTATAAAAGCATGAGCCTAGCCCCAGTTGCCCTCTTGCTTTTATATTCAATCCTTCAGACAAATAGTCATGAAAAAAATGTCTCTAAAATGTAAACACAGTAACCTGGCTTACAATGTGACTACTTGATCCCTCACATATTCCTGCCACTGTCATCATCCCCACTGTGCTACAGCTGAGCAAGCTCTCTCCAGAACCGAACTGATTTGAGTATCGTGTCCTTGAACCCCCAAAACTATGAGCTAAAATATCTTTTCATAAGTAGCCTGTCTCAG